GTACAACTTCTTGAGCCTATACCAGGAGGAACAGGACTGCACCATTCGGTTTAAGAAGTCGACTTCAACTGTAGACGCTACTGAGAAGGCTTTCCTTTCTTTCTTTACCTCGGGATCATCTCCCTTTATTTCCACAGGAACGTCGGGTTGCTTAGGCCAGCAGTCCTCTGCTTCCCAGAGAAAGGAAGGGCCACTAGTCCAGCGGTTTTTGTTGATAAGCTCTTCAGCGGAAAGTCCTCTAGATGCATCGTCAGCAGGGTTAGAAACTGTACCAACATAGTACCACTGGTCTGGTCGCGATCTTTCATGGATTGTTGTAATTCTGTTCGCAACGAACGTCTGGAACCTCCTTTCCTTGTTCATGATATAGCTCAACACACATGTGCTGTGGGTCCAAAAGAACCTTTCATCCACTGCAACATCCAGCTCGTGCTGCATCATCCTGTTCAATCTGGTGGCAACTACAGCGGCTGACAGCTCTAGGCGAGGAATAGTAACTGACTTCTGAGGCGTTTGTCGTGTCTTCCCTATCAAAAAGGCACAATGGACATTTTTAGCTTCATTGATGACTCGAAGGTACGAAACAGCACCATATCCTTCACTTGATGCATCTGAGAAATTGTGAATTTGGCTGGACACTATGCGGCCAAAGTTCTTGGGTTTTAAACAACGTTGAACGGCGAACTGTTCAAGTTCAGGAAGTTCCCTCAACCAGTCTTGCCAACGCACTAAATCTTCATGTGGAATTCTGTCATCCCAGTCTAATCCTTTCCGGCACAGATCACGCAGAATTGCTTTCGCAGGCAGAATCAACAGGGCAATGAATCCCAGAGGGTCATAAATTGAACTTATGACAGAGAGAATACCCCTCCTCGTTGGGGGTCGGTCCTTCACAACAATCTTGAAACGGAATGTATCTGACTGGACATCCCACTGAATGCCGAGGGCACGCTCTACAGGCAAGTTCTCGAGATCGAGCTCTTTGACAGATCCGGCTCTCTCAGACATGGGGACTGACTTAATGACATCATATGCATTTGAAATCCATTTGTTAAATGAAAACCTCCTCTAGCTAGCAACTGACGTAGTTGGTTTACCAATCGACTTGCTTGTTGGTTATCTTCCACAGACTTCAAGCAATCGTCAACATAGAAATTTCTTTTTACTGTTTGAATAGTGTCTTTGTCAAAATGTTCTGCATTGTCATCGGCTGTTTTCTGTAGTGCGTAATTGGCACAACTAGGGGACGAGACACCTCCAAAAAGGTGAACTAGCATTTGAAATTCTTCTGGTTCTTTATCCGTGTCACCACCCGGCCACCACAGGAAGCGGAGATACCTGCTATCCTCGGTTGGTACTTGTACTTGATAAAACATCTTCTCGATGTCAGCCATAATGGCTATGGGCTGTTCTCTAAATCTTGTCAGAACTCCAGTGAGTGAGTT